TGCATACACACACACACACACACACACACACATACACACATGTGCGTATTTGCGTTTGTCTTGTCACTGCAATTTTTTACTATCACCATCATCATTAATTAATTTACTATTACTATTGTTACATCATCTATTATCACCATAACTACTACTGATATCATTATCCTAATCATCATTACTTTATCACTACTGCGATTATCATTATCATCATTGTTATCATTATAATTTCCACTGTCATAATTATCATTATCATCATAATCACCATTACTACAATTATCGTGATTACTATCCTAATTATCATCAAACTATTAATACTGTCATTATGGTGATCACTTTATCACCATCATTATAATGAATATCATTTTTAAATACCATTAGTATTATGATAATCGTTATTGTTATCACCATCTTATTGATTTCAGTAGCATAATCATTATATATTCTTACATCAATAATCACTATACTTTCATCATCAATAATTCTTTCGCTTCATTGTGTAATTATCTTCATTAACTTCGCCTTAATTAGGTTCCTTCTAAATTACCTCATCATACTGTCACAATAAAAGTTATCACTATCATCATTATCATCATCATCCCTAATCACTATCATTATTATTCCCATCGCGAACGCTATCATCATATTATCATCACCATCATCATCCTCATTATCATCCTCCCCATCATAATCATCATCAACGCTATCATCTTATCATCATCACCATCATCATCATCATCCCCATCATCATCATCAACGCTATCATCATATCATCATCACTATCATCATCATCCCATCATCATCATCGTCATTATTCTCCTCTTCAATATCATTATCACCATCATCGTCATCATCACCATCATCATCCTCTTCATATCACCATCATCATCATCATCACCATCATTATTTTCCTCTTCATTATCACCATCATCATCATCATCACCATCATCATTATTATCACCATCATCATAATTTATCATCCCATCCCTCATAACACCACCTCGCCCCAACATACTACACCCCCCCCCGGTCCCCCCATCCCCCCCCCCAAGTCTTCCACACGCGTAAGTGCTGACATCTGGTGAGAGAAAAAAGAAACGAGATTTTTTTTATCTCAATCTCGCGTCTCTTCTATCTGTCACCAAGGTTCAAAGTAGCTTATTATGTCAAGGTAAAGGTGCTAGGAGGTCTTTCGTGTGGATGTGTCAGTGTCTCAGATAATGCACGTTAGTCTGTCTGTCTGTCTGTCTCTCTGTTTATTCGTCTGTATTTCTCCGTCTATCTGCTTATTTAATATGTACTTCTACATGTTTGTACGCATAGGCATGCATTCAAGTCAGTAAGTATACATGAACACACGTATGCATCTATAACTATTCATCTGTGTGTGTGTGTGTGTGTGTGTGTGTGTGTGTGTGTGTGTGTGTGTGTGTGTGTGTGTGTGTGTGTGTGTGTGTGTGTGCGTGTGTGTGTGTGTGTGTGTGTGGTGTGTGCGTGTGTGTGTGTGTGTGTATGTGTATGTGTATGTGTTGTGTGTGTGTGTGTGTGTGTGTGTGTGTGTGTGTGTGTGTGTGTGTGTGTGTGTGTGTGTGTGTGTGTGTGTGTGTGTGCGCGCGTTCGTGCGTGCGTGCGTGTGTGTGTGTGTTTGGGTAACCAGACCAAGCACCTTCATATCTGGTTTTAATGTCAAAGCTACGGTGCGAGATGGTTTTATAAATAACGAACAATATCACCTTTGTTCTTGCAGATAAAGTGAAGGGCATCTTACGGGTAAAAAGATGTTCTGAGATGAACGGCCGACGAATATAGAGCAAGGTAAAGAAAGGGGAGGTGGAAGAGCGGGAAAGGGAGAGGGGAAGGAGGAGGGGAAAGGGAGGCCAGTAAGGAAAGTACGGCACTTTTCGACGAGATCTCGGGTGTGCACGAAAAAAAAAAAAAACGTGTGCAGTGCGCAACGGTCGTATGCACCTCAACAGTGCACTTCTTGAAACTTTTCAGATAATAAAATGCTTGCAAGTCCTTAAACTAGTAAATTCCTCGTTCCATATCGATGTTATATAATTATTTTGATCGTTGAATACCATAAATCACTCAGGTGTGCAACAGGAACTCAATAAAAAATGTCGAGTGTGCATATGCCGTATTAGTTATACTGGTCGAGAGGGAAGGGAAGGGGTAGGAAGAGGAAGAAAGGGAAGGATGTGGAAGAGAGGAGAGAGCGAGGGAGGGAGGGGGCGAGAGAGGCGAGGGGAGGCGAGAGAGGGAGGGGGCGAGAGAGGGGAGGGGGGAGAGAGGAGGGGGGGAGAGGAGAGAGAGAGAGAGGGGAGAGGGAGAGAGAGGGGAGAGAGAGAGAGGGAGAGAGGGAGAGAGAGAGAGAGAGAGAGAGAGAGAGAGAGAGAGAGAGAGAGAGAGAGAGAGAGAGAGAGAGAGAGAGAGAGAGAGAGAGAGAGAGAGAGAGAGAGAGAGGAGAAGGAGGGAGAAAGGAGGGAGAGGAGAGAGGAGAAGAGAGGAAAGAGAAGGAGAGAGAGAGAGAGGGAGAGGAGAGAGGAGAGGAGAGAAAAGAGGAATATGAAGATTTATGATATGAAAAACAAATAAAAAAATCATTACCCAACTTATCAAATTTCTTTCCCATAAAATAAAGTAGTTATGATTCAATTTTGACATATTCATCATACCAATATGTTTAGGGTTCGATGGTAATACATGAGCAATTACAAGTCTGGATGAGGGAGCAGAGTTTTCCTCGGGTCATCTTTAGGAAGTTTTGGGTGAAGAAGACTGAGAAACAAAGGTTCTCTTATGAGGAGAAGAGGAGATAGATATCTGACTAACAGAAGAGGAGAAAGGTGTAGGACAGGATGTAGTAGGAGAGGGTGGAGTGGAACGTTCAGGTTGCCTGGTATGACAAATAAAGTGAGGAGGACATAGGTATTGGGGAGGTGGTAGAGATTGGAGTATCTGGATTTAGAATGGAAAATGAATTTGACTGGGGGATAGGGTGAGTAGATGTAGGATGGTTTAGGGTTTAAGGGAGATATACCTGGGGAGATGTAGAAATATCTTGTGAAGATGGTGGGGGAGCAGAGTGAAGGACTGTTTTGGAATAAGTTTAGAGAGAAAAACCTAATCGTCGTGATTCTTGTCTGGTCTCTTGTAGAGTGAGGCTTCATTTAAATCTGAGGACTGCTACTTCACATTTGAGTTTATAGGAGGGTAGCTCCTACAAAATACATTATGGGAGTACACAATTGACACATTTATGTGACTGAGCATGGCAATTTGAACAGTCATGACCAGGTTGTCCACATAGAGGGCAGCAGGTTGTGGAGTGACAGTGTTTGGCTGGGAGGCTAAAATGCCAACATTTCTGGCCTCTGGGAGGAATAGTGTAACACTGTACTACCACTGCATCATATTCACCAAGGCAGGAGAGTAGGTCTGACCAGTCCTTGTTGTAGATAGGACAAGCATTTGGGGGAATGGAAACAGTTCAAGTACAAGTATTTAGAGACAGGTGAGGTTCGGCAGGAATAGGTTTGCCAGCAAAGTTAGGTAGAGTAGATAGTGCACAAGCTTTGGATTCAGATGTAACTGTGACAAGGCATGAACGATCAAAGAGAAGGGTATTCTCTGAATAGGGGGCTGTGGGGGGGTTGGGGGGCAATAAGGATGAAGAGAAGTAGTAAAGGAATAAGGGGTAGACATTTGAAGAGGACTGTGCAGCAAGAGATGAAGAGGAGAATGTTGGGAAAGAGGAAGGGGTGCTTTCTAGAGGTTGAGTAATAACCTGAGTAGGTGATTTAGAATGATTAGAGTTGTTCGTAAGCATCGAAGAGGGGGTATTAGTATCAGTGGTCTAATCCATGGTCAAAGGAGGGGCAGCGGTCAGAAAACCATCAAGATCAAATTCAGGTAGGCTAGTTGATGAAGGGGCAAGCCTTTATGCTCCTATTAAGGGTAAAGAATCTTCACTATTGGCCATGGTGAGCCTGAATAAAATGGGGAAAAGAGCTAAGCAATTAACCAAGGGAATACAATGGCCATGGCTTCCGAGGCCATTCACGAGTGACACAAAGCCAGCCTTTCATCCTTTCAGCACAGCTCTGACACCTTTAGAATGGGATAGAAGAAAGGAATAAAGAAGATAAGAAAAGACCAAGCAAAATTAGTTGAGGCAAGGGCTGAGGTCCAAGGCAGAGGTGATCCCCTACATTGGGTCTCTGTCTTTGTCTCCTAAGCCCTCCCACGACAAGAGCAATCTAGGTATTGGGAGGGATATTAGGATAAAGGATCACCTTCAGTGAAATCAGAAGTCTAATGTATGCTGGATACTGTAAACAGATATAGATTAGCACAATCAACTTAGTTTTTCATACATACAGTTCTGATATATCTATACCTTAACATACATATATTGACTGTCTGCTATAGACACCAAAGTTCAGTATCTGAGCCTATCAGCAACTACTTGTAATAAAAATGGCTTGAAGATATTTTTATCAGAAGATGTTATTTCATGAGAATTTCTCTATAATTTCTCAATTATATGAGATGTCACTCAGTTAATTACAATATCAATGTTTTACTGTAGTACCAAGGACAAAAGAAAACACATACAAGAAAATAGAATGGAAATCTTTATCATGAGAAAGACAGATATGTATGACAACAGAAATATACAAATAATTTTTTAATTTAGCTTTAGTAGTGTTATAATTACACCAAAGTCTACAGAGGGTAAATTTACCATCCAATACATATGTGAGAAATTGTTGAGTACTACTAAAACTCCATCTTTATCACAGCACCATTATAGAGACAACAACAAAAAGAAATGTAGAAATCTTGGATCAGTAATTCAGCATTACTAAATGAGACCACCTGAGATAAATACAAAAGTGTAATAAGTGCACATTCAACAGCTTGTTACTCAAAATAAAATACAAAAAGGAAAGCATAGAATATCTTCTTATGGAATGCAATTACGTATATATAAATTTCTGTATATAATTTTTCCTGTATCCTTCCCTCATCATCAATTTCTATTTAGATATCAATAATGAACATCTTTATATGCCATTTGCATCTTCATTCTCACTTAAGAAAATATGCAATTTTCGCAATCATATACATGTTTATCTTTATTTCTTTCATTTCTTCTACCCACAATAATTCTCAATAAATACAGGTCATTTCCTTACTTGAGTTTCAAAAGTGGGAAACAGCCTAAGGAAAAGGTGGTGTCCGCAGGGCATTTTGTGGTGAAGATAAATGGTCCCGTCTCTTTCTCTCTCCAGATCTCTTTCGACGCCCGAAAAGAAGAAGACGAGGAAGAAGAGGAGTCACTCTCGCTCCTCTCTTGCCCCTTCTTCCCCCCACTGCTCTCATCCTCCTTTCTTGAAACTACACTATCACTTCTCTCACTACTCTCACTCTTCTGTCTCTGTCTGCTCGCATCTTCCATTTCCATTCCCTGCTTGCTGTTATCACTTTTTGTCTTGGTAGCGTTTGGGCAAGCTTCAGTAACATCTAATACCTCTATGACGTGGCTGTCGTCGAGGTCATCATGGCTAAAGCTATAGATGATACCGTCCACCATGCACACATTCACAGGAGGTGTTGTGAAATGGCCAAAGTAAGATATTGTGTGGCCACCTTCTGGTAAGTACTGGTATACTTTGGGTGAACAGTTGTCTGCCGATGGAAATAAAATGGCATAAATCAAGAAAGAACTACTAGTCGTAAGAGAATTTTAAAGATGACTGTAATAGGTTCTGCTCATGATAAGAACTCTGAGTTGCAAAATCAAAATAATAATCATGATAAAAATGCGGGAGTTGGAACATGATCCTTGCCAGTGTTAATGGTCAACTGTATTATATATTAACAGCAATTAATAAAGCAATTCCCCCCAAAAAAGAATTAATAATAAAAATCAAAATGCCACAGTCTCAATATCAAACATGTGGAACTCACCTATGAGATACACTGCATTCTCCCAGGTAAGTGCAGCTCTATAACCTTGCTTATTGGGCGATCTAACAGGTATAGCCGACCATTTCTTCATCTTTGGATAATAGGTAAGCAGCTGCATCTCTTGTGTGAATACCATCAGCCTGCCTTTGAAGTTGCAGACTGCACCATGACTCACACAATGGGGCATATCTGGGCATCGCAGCCATTCGCCTGCAAAGTTTAAAGGAAAAGTCTGAATGATGTTTTAACCTGTATGAATGAAAGGGCTTTGCATGTGACTTATCTATTCAATTGTACTTTTTACAACTCTTTGTTTCAGGATCTAACTCTTTCTTTCTTTCTCTACCTGCCTATCGGCCAACACTGTCGCTTGCCCTTTCTAACACATTTATTTCATCCATTCACTCAATTAGTATCTCCCTCGTTATTCTCAATACCTTTAGTTTATTATCTATAGTCTTTTGCATCTAGAAAGTGTCTGGAAGAGCTGTAAATTCCCCTTAAAAATTCCAACATTTTTACATTAACATTTTTGCTACAAAAAAAAGGTATTTTTTTCTGTTTTGTATTTTTATTGTCTTAAAAAATATATTCCATAATCTTGGTTAAAGAATATTACTAGACTTTCTTGTCTTCAATTCATAAATATGTGTTTCTCTGTCAGTGTCTAAACCTCCTTTTCACATAGATCATATCACATACCCCTAACAACAACAAAAACATAACTATAAGACTATACAATATAACATAACATAACATTTCCAGATTGCCATTCCTTCACTGGTACATAAATTACAATGTAGCGGCTCCATACTTACCTGATGTTGTGTCATAGGCATCAACGGAACTTTGCACGACTCTGTATTTCCCGTATCCTCCCAGCAGGTAAATGACTGAATCGACAACACATATCATTTGGTGCCTCCTGGGCTGTGGTAACCTGTATGGAGCAGAAAGTTCTTTTATAGTTTCAGAAACACGTCCTTCAGCATTATCCATTAGTAGTACATCACTATCATTGTATTCATTGTTCACAAGAGTAAATATTGTACAGAGACAAACTATTGCAAAACATCTAACAAAAGAATTTCTACTTTTCATCTTAAAGCATATGCACTCTCTGTGTCTGTTCTTTTTTATTTAATCCTATTCAAGTTTGCATATTAAATTAATAAAACCAACCAACTAATACACTCTACATATTCCAAATCTGAAAGAAAAAAAAAATAAAGATCAGATGAAGACCAATGTGTTTAAAACATAATTCATAAAAAAGATAACTTACGAGTTTTCAATAATCCATTTCCGTGAGGCTGTGCTGTATCTCCAGACAGATTTGTTCCAATTGCCATTTCCAAAGAGGTATTCGCCACCAAAGATGTAAATGCTAGGACCTGTAACAACAATTTGACTTTCAAATTGAATGTGACATAAAATGTACAGATTTAATATTTTTCTCTTAATCTTTATAATTTATAAGAATGGTAAAATAAAGTTCAAATTCATAAAAAGGCAATTTGATAAATG